GATAGCTGAGAAGTTGTTTCAAGGACTGACCCTCCCTGGGTGGCCCGGAGAAACTAGAGGCCCTTTGGAGCGAAGGAAAATGTTTCAGGTCTCCTTGAGACGTTTCGAGTCAGGTCCTGAGCTAGGTAGAAACAGTTTTCTCACGCAGTAAAAAATTTCCCCAGTGTGTTTGCGTGTGTGTGGGAAGGAGAGCAAATTTGTATTTACTGAGGTGGAGCGAGACAGCAGGAGTAAAGCAGACCAAGGCATGTCAGAGTTTGGATTTATTACCGATAGAGTAAGCCATTGTCTTTTCATTTTGACCCTAATGCTGTTCTGAGCCTCTGCCAGGCGTGGAGACCACAGTCATTTGTGTGTTGACCCCCTGCTTCACACCCTTTATTTTTCTCACTTTGTAGGTTTTGACTGAGCTAATGCTTTCAGGGGAAAAAAAATAAAGCAACAAAACTACTTATTGATTAGAGTGAAGTCGCTTGCAGCATCTGGGCTTGGTCAAGTTTGTGAGGTGGTTTTTGCCATTTGGTAGAGGCGCAAGTAGTGTTTGTTCTAACACATTTAGTAAATTTTGTCGGTTCCTATGTCCTGGATACTCAGAGTTTTCTCACTTTGTCTGCGCTACCAGAGCACTCCTGTTGGGACTGAAGCCTGCGGCAGAGATCACTCTAACTGCTCTGAGGAAAATTCTTCTCCTCCTCCTCCTCCACATTTTAATTTGCACATTGTCTTTCATGTCAAAGTATAAAAAAGGCTGTCAACCCCCATCTCCACTTGTTTTTTGTTATTACCTAGATTGTATAGGTAAAACCATGTGGGTATCCTGTTAGGATGAGCTACAGCAAGTTAGTTTGAAGTTCTTCCAACAGTAGCAAAGATATGTCCCACCATGAGGAGTCAAGTCGGAATCGGCAGCGAGCTCGTATCTGATCATGTCTGTCAAAGGGAGACTGCACAATCGTCATGAATTACCGTGCTCGTATTTTTGTATATTCAAGCGATGATGTTTTATACCATTTCTTTGTTCTGTTCCCCGGTATAGTTAAAATACATTGAATAAAGAGTGCTGTAACAGGGTTAGTAGTCCTACGGAGCCACGTGAAGACTGACTCTATAGAGTTTGCCCTGTTGCCCTCGGAGTCATGTGAGCAAAGAGAGGTTGAGAGATTCGTGTTTAGCCGGTGCTGTCGCCTAATTGTCTTTCTCCCTCGTGGCTCCCCAGCTACTCCTTCCACTTCCATTTACTCCTCATGGTGTAGGCCATCAGGCAAGTTACATGTGTGTCCCTTGTGTCACTTAGGAAATGGGTGACACTGTATATCAGGTCAAGACGGCAAGCAGAGGTTCGTATTCTTAACCATCTCATTGGAGATTGCAAAATTTGTTTCCATCCTGCCTTTGATGCTTGCTGAGCACCTTCGGAAGACACTGAGCAAGGGTCGTCCAGGGATTTTGGTGTCCGTTTGGTTAAACGAGCTCAACCAGCAGTCATCAACTCCTAGTAGAGTCTGGGAATCATAGAATCATAGAATCATAGAATGACCTAGGCTGGAAGGGACCTTAGAGATCATCTAGTCCAACCTCCCTGCCATGGACAGGGACGCCACCTCTCGACTGGACCAGGCAACACATGGGGACCGAGCGGTGATCGAACCCGCAATCTCAGTGTTGTCATTGTTGTCAGCACCGCGCTCAAACCACTGAGGCTGTGTGGATAATTTGTTGGGGTTGTAGCACCTACAGAAGACTCTCAACTCAAAGAGAATGAAATGTTAAGAGAAAATAGAGGTGTCTGTCTATGGTGGGTGGACAGTGTGGGGCTTTTAGTTTTTCCCTGATACTACAAGACATAAGCACAGAATCAGACCAATCTACTGATGATACTTTCAGGCCATTTTTTCAGCTGTGGATACAAAGTCAAACGTCTTAAAAGCGGTTTCATTCTTAAGGGGCTTGCAAGCAACAAGAGACATTCTTGAAATCAGAACTATCTGATCTGAGTGCAGTGAGAAATGCCAGAAAAGGACCAAATGATTAAAACAGGAGCTGTTGTGGTTACCACAGTCCATTGACTGTGTAAATTGTGTGTGGTGCCTTCCCAGCTAAAGAATTTGTATTGCTTAGGAGATCGAGATGGTCTCTGAAGTGACTTTTTGATAATGTTAGTGTCCTTCTAACCCGTGTTAGCACATTTCCTTGAACTCTGGAAGTCGCTAATCTTGCTGATACAAATAGGAACTCGCAGCTTAACATTGCTCAGTTGTGTGAGTAATAAGGAGTGGGCTTCAGCGATGAGCCTCCCCGGAGCCCTACTACCTCCCTACCGGGTCCTGCTGTCAATCCACTGCTAACTTGAGATATGTGTAAAGTGCATGAGAAAAAGAGAATCGTACTCCTTTTCTCTTTGAAAGCAGAATCTAGAAACTCGATTATTTTTGCTAACCATTTCTTTTTATTCGGGATATGAAAGCAAGTGCAGCAAGAGGGGGAAGAAAAAAGAAAAGTCACCTTTGAAAACGACCATCCACTAGTCCTCAAGTTAAAAAGCAGCAGGAAATATTGGGAAAATAACTCTTTCTAAGATGTCCAGGTTTATCAAAGCACTTACGTGCACAGCATGGAGAAAAGGAGCCCCTGTGGGTGTCAGCCCTGCATGTGGGTGCACATGCCCATGTGTATGTTTCTGTAAGGGAGAGAAAACACGCCTTAAGGGAATGTAAAGAATAATATTATCTGTGGTTACTGGCAACAGAAAAAGAGAGCAAGAGAGGGTAAACTGCTGTCTTTTTTTAATCAGTGCTTGGACATTTAATGACAAGGTGCTGACTGACAGTGGAATGCTGGATGCAGAGCTTCTGGAGAAAAATACAAAGGGGTCACCTTTTATTTTCCAGTAGAAATTAAGAACCACGTTGTGCCTCGGTGTGGCTGTCCCTCTAAATCAGTTGCTTCTCCTCAACATTTTTCTAAATGCCTTCTTTAAAGACTTACAGAGCTTTTTTACTCAGCCTGTGATGTGGAACTGTGTGAAGTCCCTGACCAAACCACCCTTGCTGGACAGTTATAAATAGAAGCATTACAGGGTGGAAAAAAAAATAGGGCACATGTTTTTAATTAAAAGGAAGTATCAGGGAAGTGATCTGCAAGATAACAACGTAAAGAAATTATAGCTCTTTTCCATAAAGAATGTTAATTTCACCCTCCTGAACTGGAGCAATTGTCCTGTTTAATATCTTAAGCACCGGAAATTCCCTGCCAAGATTGGCTGTCAAAGTTATATCCTTAGTAAAACGGATTTCTATATATAAAAATTAAATGAAAACGTAGTGAAAAGGACAGGCTGGATGGAGCTGCACAGAAGTGGGGAGAAGCCACACGGGGCTCATGGGTCAGGATCACACAGGGGGCAAGTGGAGATGCCCGTGGTGTGAGGACATGGCACTTGGACACCTCGAGCACCCTGGTACCTTGGCTCTTAAAAATGTGACCTTACAAAGTTCCTCAGTCATTTAAGGAAACAGAAAAACCGCAGCTCAGAGCTTCCTTACAAAACCTGGCAATGCAGCAGGACAAAAAAAAATCCAGTGTGTGTTTTCTGAAGTTCCCTTTTGTTTTTTCATACCTGACTTTTGTGGATATAAAAGTGAGCAAACTTCTACAAATAGGGCAGAACTTTCTTTCTTTCTTTTTTTTCTTTTTCCTGTTAGGATCATCAGAATGCTCATCACAGGTGGATTTTTTCCATTCAATATACTTTAAATTCAGGCACAACGGATAAGAAATTACTGCGGCATAGCTTGTACCTAAACATACCAATGCTTCCTTTGACTATATTAAACCTCAGCAAAAAACTTCTGAGACAAACCCTCTACCTTAGGTATTTCTGTGCTTTATATCACTGTATTATCTAAGCATATCACAGTCTTTTAATAGACTTGTTTCCATATTCTATGTTGGTAAAAAGTAATATTCTTCCCATTTACGGGAAGCAGGATAGAAGTTAAATAACTTGCCCAGGGTGAGAAAGCAAGTTTGTTGAAAAGCAGGCGTTGGGGTCACGCTTGGTTTTCTAAGAGGAAAAGCCCTTTCTCCTTCAACAGCTTTGTGAGTGCTTGGGACTCTGGTCCTTTCCTGAGTAAATAATAAAAGCAACGTGTTCAAACTCGGAGCTATTGCTGGGTGTGGTGTCTTGCCTAGAAAGCAGCACCTATCGAAAGGTATCATGAGGTGTTTCCCCACTTTAACACAGATGTTGATGATGTTTCTTTTGGATCTTCTAACAAACCCTCTTCTTGGTGCCTACTTAGTGGTCTCTTTTCTCATGCTCAGTACTCAGCCATCAATATTTTTCTGCAGTCCGTTTACATCCCATTTTTATTTTCCACTCAGCCCCTTCATGGTTTTGACTTGAGGGCCAGATACAAACCTTATGCAATTGCAGACTTTAACCTTGGCTTTCCTGGGATTTGAATTTAACCTGTGCTGGAGATTGTCCCTTCCTCTCGACCGCACTAAATCTTCCCTGCCGTGGCTAACTAGTCCTTGGGGCTCATAGCTTCCGAAGAGAAAAATGTTTTGCCTTTGAAACGGATTAGATTGCACCACACGGTGCAGGTAGTTCCAAAGCATTTTGGAGGAAGCATCCCCTTGGGGTCCAGTCAAGGACAGAAGGCAGCGTGTGGTGCTGTCAGTACATCTCCACCATGTTCCTGGGGCACGAGGCAAAGAGGGTCGGTGGGGGCACAACCTTCCTGGGCTGCAGCTCGAAGGAGTCATTGATTAAGTAGAAAAGAAAGAGGAAGGGTCTTTCTCCACTTTCCCCTCTTAACTCCTTCGTACAAGGAATTTATCACAGGCCAACATGGATATCTCTGTGTTGGCCGCGTTGAGAAATATCTGTTGGCCAGGCAGCACGAAGCTGACACGGCAAATAGATTTTTCTAGAGAGAGAAAAAAAACTACTGCTGCCTTCACTAACATGTGTTCCTCTGTTTTCCACCCAACAGTCAATGAAGGCTCAGGTGAAACCAATCAAAAAGAGACATCGACCTGTGACATTTGCCAGTTTGGGGCGGAGTGTGACGAAGATGCGGAGGATGTTTGGTACAGTAACTTGGTCTACTCTTCTATTTGAAATGAATGTTGTGTTGTTTAAAGGTGCTATGGTTTGGAAAGCGTTGCAAATATTCGATACTCAATTTTCTGCACCCAGAGATTCATCGCACGGTGATTGAGGTGGTTATTACTCTGAAAAAAGAATGTGTAAAACAGTCTGGTTTGTAATTTTGGAGTGTGCACAATTTAGACAAAGCCTAGAAACACAATTATCCATTTTGTTGCAGTTATAACTTATGTTATTCCATCTGGGCTATTACAGCTTTATACTTTGGTAAAAATAGAGTTGGGAAAAATAATTGACCTAAAGCTCTTCCGCTTAAAAAGTATCATTAGTAATATCATCGTGTTAATTCATGTGTGGCATTAGAAATGCTGGGAAATCTGTCTCGCTTTTTCCTAGTTGCTGGAGTTGAAGACCTAGCTTTCAAATGTTTGAAATAATTAGAGGGTACATTTAGACATTTTCTCAATGGAGAGTGTTTTATTTTTTTATTTTTTAAAGGAGGTTTCAAAATTAGTCAGGTTTTTCTTATTTTGTTTTTTTTAAACCACAGAGGCTGAAGGGAAATAATTCTATTGACTCATAATTTTTGTTGGTTTTTTACATTTTGCCTAGAAACCATGCAGACTTTGGTTGTTGGTCAGGCATGAAATGAACATTTCAGCTATTCAGTGAAGAAGCTTAGAACACGGTTGTGGCCATCCATTTGTGCTCCTTCTGGTTTTGTCTTGCCAGGCTTTTAATAACCACCGGGTCTAGTCTTTAAAAAATACGAGGTAAACAAACCACGGAGGCTCTTTCCTCTGACTCCACTCGTCAAAAGAAATCGTGGCGCTGAAAAACAGGAGCAAGATGCATCATGGTTATAGGTTTGCAGTAATGTAATGAGATTTGTGTGGAAGAAATTGCCTAATTTTGACTTTGCTTGAGAAAATTACCCCAGGTGTCAGGATTTTCATCGTCTCCTTGAGCGGGTTGTCCTTGAGAGTTTTGGTGGTGCAGCGTAGAGACAAAACCGTGGTAAAATTAATACATCAAAATTCACAGTCTAGTGCTCGTGTTTTCATAATTAAGTGCACTTCCAAATTGGAAGGCAGGAGAAGAGAGGGGCAAGGAATAAAATTAGCTACAGGATAACATTATTAATCATAAGCACTGAGCAGCAGTGTTTATTTTTTTTTTTCTCCAGAAATAGCTTGGTAAAATAGCCTGATCCAACTTATCCCAGTAACATTCCTGC